GCGCTAAACCGATTCCACGCACTGAATTGACACTTTCCGTTACTGTACACTTTTTCAGACCCACCTTACTTAACTTATTGGTTAATGCTCATTGTTTTCGGATACTTACTCGAGGTGTTTGATTGTAGTACGTCGTGTGTTGCACGCAAGTTTTTTTTAGTAGGATATGGTATGGTACCTACAATTTATTTAATATCTGAGTATGGGGATGGATGAAGAAAGTATCAAATGAACGAACGAGTGAGAAAATGGACGAATGAGTGATACTAAGCTAGTGAGTGAGTGAGTGAGTGAGTGAGTGAGTGAGCAAATGGTCGTTCGATTCGATGACGAGTAAGCGATAATTTAGGTGAGTGACTGAATGACGAGTGGCTGACTGACTGAGTAAGTGACTGAGCGAGTGAGTAAAGACTGAGTGAGTGATATTGACGAGTGAGTGAGTGAGTGAGTGAGTGAGTGAGCGGATGGTCGTTTCGGTTCATTGAACGAATTCGATGGCGAGTAAGCGGGAATGTGGTTGAGTGCTGAGTGACTGAGTGACTGAGCGAGTATTACTTAAGTACTCGCTCACTCAATCCGTACTTCCCGAACCCAATTCCCTCAAATAGGGACAAAAAAAACTACATCTCTCGTGGTCTGGTCAGAAACGAACTCTAGCTTCAGGAAGACCGCTGCTCGCTGGTAGGCAAAGCATCTAAGAATAAGGTGGTGGATGACTCGCTGCTTGAATCGCTTGAGTGCTTCAGGATAATTGTTTCGGCCAGTTGGCCCATACTTTCTTCTAATCATTTGCCCTCCTATCTAAAAACAAGTAAATCCGCCGACCAGAGCGTCGGTTGCCAGCGCAGGGTGTCGACCTGCCGAGCCCCGGAGTGGGGCGTCAAGTAGGTCTCTGCCACCGATCTAGGCGCACAGTGAGGAGGTGTTGCGAGCAATATGTCGCCGAAAATATGATGCAATCCTGAGCCAAAGTGCCCACTTTTCGAGGTCAGCGGCCGTCATGACCATAAGTTCCACCCAAAAATCCGGGACCACCAAACCTCCTTGAGTACGTGACACCTCTAACCACGCCCTGACGACGTGCACTTTGCAGGAGGGGATTGTCCGTGACAGACAAATTTGTGAAACTTCCTGGAAACTCGCTGAACGTAGTTGTAGATGGTCAAGTATTTCTCCAATATGGAGCAGTAAAGGAATGCTGACCGCCGAAGCAACTATGGTGTAGCGGGATCAGTCCGATTCTGGCTGAGGCCGATCGCCGTTCACACACTTCGCCCAGACGCCGACTAACGGAGTGGTTTCCCCAACGGTCCGTGTTCAGCTGAACTTGGTCTTACCTTGTGTACCCGGCGGCGGGCGGGATGTGGTCCCTTGAGGCTCCGAAGGTGTCCAATACGTGCAGCCTTGACCGTCCTGGTGGGGTGCGGGATGTGTGGGGCAGCGCT